GGTGCGTGAGTGCTCCAGGAGGGTAGGCTGTGCCCAAGCCCTCGGGTTGTTCTTGTAGCGGCCCCCGGTTCTGGCTTGGCCATTCCGGGGGTGGTCGTTGTATAGCGCCTCTCGGTTCGTCGGAGGGGGTGGCCCCCCGGGGCGGTTTCTGCCTTCATGTTTCTGAGAAGGCTCTGGATTACGGCGATCCTTCTCGATCTCTTCGGCTTCGGCATATTGGTCCCCCCGCTGGAGAGCTTTTGTATAATCGCGGGGGGGGTCAGTAATAAGGCTTCTCGAAGAGGGCCATCAAGGTCCTGTCGTCGGCCCCATCGACTTCGATGGAGGCTTGCCTCCAGCGTTCTAGGAAACTCCCAAGGGTTTCCTCCTTTTGTTGCCTCATGTTCAAAAGGTGGGAGAAGTGTTTCTTTGATCGGTGCCTCCCGGTGAATTGTGTGAGGAAGCGGTGGGCAAGCTCTTGCCATGAATCTATGCTGCCTTCGGGCAATCGGTTGAACCATTCATACGCTGGTCCCTCTAAGGTGGAAAGGAACCAACGACACAAATATTCATCCGATACTCCCATCATCATCATACTATTTTGATACCTGTTGTAGTGCTCTTGGGGATCCGTCTTCCCCTCGTATGGTTTGATGGGCTGCCCTCGGTATTTGCCGGGAATCTGAGCTGCCAACACCCTTGGGGTGAAGGGGGTCCTTGTGCGGAGTTGGATGAGGGGTTCACCTGATCCTTCGGCGAACTTGCGTTTCATCTCCTCCATTTGTGCTAGTATGGCGACGTATTTTGGATCCGCCTCCGAAGTCGAAGCGGGGGGCGTTTGGCGTGCCTCCTTTTCCTCCAGTTGGCGCCGGAGGGCCTCGATGATTTCATCCTTGTGATCCCTCGGGGCTGCCCCCTGGGATTTCGCCCTGAAGGATTGGGCATGGTTGATTTGATGCCTAGCGTCATCCGCGTGGAGGAGGCCTTTGCCTTTATCCCGAGGGGGAGATCTCTCCTCGGCCCCGGAGACGGAGCCTCCACTCTCCTGCGGCCTGCTGATTGCCTTGCCACCGAGGCGGTCTTGGACCCCTCGGCGTTCAGGGGCTCCCCCCAATCTCTCAAGGGCAGAGGTTCGGGGCTTCTCCTTATTTACGTGACGTCTGTCCTTGGATTGAGCCTCTTAGGAGGCGGTGTCTTGTGCCATGACCCCCTCGGCGTTGCCAACCCATATGATGGGGTTGTTGAACAGAGGAGGGGGGTGGCGGAAAATGGGCAAAGTTTCCCTCGTATTGGTGTTGGAGGGGTGCCTGAGAAACGAAGGCACCAGAGTTCATCGCCATGTTTTGGACGAAGGCCGCGAAGGCGGCCTGAAGGTCGATGGTTGGAGCCGTAGGGGGAACTTGGTTCGCACTTCGGTCCTTCCTTCGACTATCAAGCCGATGCGGGCATCAGGGGCAGCCTTCTGCAGCTGCTGACGGAGGTCAATAGCGGCCGGCTCCAATTCGAGGATGGTGCCACCTTCGGGTACCAAGAGCCTGTTGGAGGCCTCGGCCCAGTTGGTTTCGCCGGGGGCTACGCGGTTTTCCTCGAGGGTTTTGGAGTGACCACGAGTTCTTCCCATTTTTTTTTTTTTTTTTTTTTTTTTTTTTTTTTTTTTTTTTTTTTTTTTTTTTTACCCCGGAAGGTCAACCACCAAAATCAGTGGGGCAAATGCCGGGGGACATTTGCCATAATTTATTAAAATAACCAAGCATACAAATTTCAGGGGGGCCAAACCAAACCTGATGGAGCAAAATTGAAATTACATTCTAAATGAAATTACATTTTGGTAGGTGTTTTTGTTTGGTGAAGGGGAGGGTTTCTTACTTGATTGTTTGGACCTCTCAACGAGAGCACCAAATGATGGATAGTGTACCCGGGAGGTAGCTTATCCGGGGGGGTTACTATGAGAATAACCTAGAGAGAAGTCAGAGCAAACAAGTAAGAGAGAGAGAGAGAGTCGATTGTATTAATGAACTCGAGATGTTCTGGTATCGGATCCTTTACAAGAGGAATAAAGGGTGCTATTTATAGCAGCCATAAATGCGATGAGAATACATGTGTCAGTAATCTAACGGCCGAGGGGTCACCTCAATCAGGGTGGCACCGACACTCGCATGTGCACCGCAGGGTGGATGTGACGCCGCATTAAATGCGGTGGTTGCTTGTCTCCAAAGGGAATCTTCGATGATTGAGCTGTTTTGCCGAAGGCTCTCCCTGCGGCTGAGGGCTCTGTGTAGCCGAAGGCTTGGTTCAGCCGAAGGCTTCCCTGACGCTGAGGGCACGAAAGTGCCGAAGGCTCCTGATTTCTGCCGTTTTCTTCCAGTAGCTTCGTATGCTCAAACCTGGCTGTCTTGTGAGTTTTGGAGCCTTCGGCCATGTTGCCGAAGGCTACCCCAGGCGCACCTTGGGCTCCTTTGAGCTTGGGCCGCTGTGCTTTGGGTCTCTTGTGCTTCTTGGGCCTGTGTTGGAGTAGTGGGAGTCTTTGAGCCGGGGGTTCCTGGGCCATATACTCCATCAACAAGATATTCATATGAAGTCACAGTTAACAGCCGGTGACATTTTTCGTAATTCAGTGAAAATCGTGACTTTAGTTAAATGAGCACTCATACACTTTTAGTTAGCATCAAACATATTCAACCGAATATTAAGAGTCGAATAATAAGTATCATAATATAACCTTCATATATTGTTATTCACTTTCTTTTTATTGTTTTTATAATATCTACAATGAACCTGTATGAGCCCAATATTTGAATCTAATGCATGACATTTTAAAATGAGTATTACACAAATACCAATTGAGCAAACATAGCATACGAAATGAACATAAACAAATTCAAAAAACTCATTTAAAATCTGTAGTGTGCTCAAATATTAAATGAGAAAACTTATGAAATGAACTTTGAAAATTTTAAAGTGAGAATTACACCAATATGCATGGACATGACGTTTTAAAATGAAAGTTACACCAATATCAATTGAACATACATACTTACAAAATGAGCATTGAAAAATTCATAAGTTGTGAAATGAGCATCGAAAATTTTAAAATGAGCATTACACCAATAATATGCATGGATGTGACATTTCAAAATGAGCATTACATCAATATAAAATTAAAATACATAAGTTACAAAATGAGCATCAAAAAAATTTAAAACGCTCATTTAAAATCTCTAGTATTCCTATATATTAAATGAGAATACATAACTTATGAAATGAGCAACGAAAAATTTAAAATGAGCATTACACCAATATTACATTTTAAAATGAGCATTGTACAAATTTCAAATGAGCATTACACCAATATTACATTTTAAAATGAACATTGTACAAATTTCAAATGAGCATACATAACTGACGAAATAAGCATAAAAAAATTAAAAAGCTCAATTAAAATCTCCAGTATGCTCAAATATGAATTTGTGTAGACTCATATCAATATAACATATTTAAAGAAGCACCAATTCCTTATTTTAGACCAACAAATTTAATTGTGCTTATTAGAAAAATTAAAATTAGAAAAAAAAACGGAAGCAGAAAAAAGAAAAAGAAAAGTTAGAGTTTTTTTTTGGCTTGATGAAAAGTTAAAGTTAGATGAACTAAAGTTCAAAATTAAAAAAAAATGAAAAACGATAAAAAGAAGCAACAGAAAGAAGAACAAGCAAAAACGAGAAGAAGCTAAAAAGGGAAAAGTGTCAAATAGGCCCCCCTACTAATACGAAAAAGTCAATTAAGTCCCTGAACAAAAAAAACATCCAATTAAGCCCACAAACTAAATATAACGAGGCAAAACAGTCCTTTTAGCAGGATATTAACCGTTCCCAGTTAAGTTGCATGTGTGGCAAATGATGTGCATGCTTTTTACATTTTCTTTTTCTCTTTTTCTCTTTCTTTCCTTTTTCCTTATCTCTTTTTACCGCTTAATTACCTGCTAAAAGGACTGTTTTGCCTTGTTTTTTATAGTTCGTGGGCTTAATTGAGTGTTTTTTGAGTTCAGTGGCTTAATTGACTTTTATGTATTAGTAGGGGGGCCTATTTGACAGTTTTCCCAAGCTAAAAATGAATTGAAAGTGCAGATGAATAAAAATTATAAAATGTAAACTAAAAACAACGGAAAGTGGGGACAAATAGAAAGAAACGACGGAAGATGATAAAAGAGAGCAAACAGTCCACTCCATATAATTGATGACCTTCATTTTACAAACAATTACTACTACAAAAAAAAAACGGGGTGTACATAACAACGGGGTGAACAATATATATCACCACCCTCAATGGCAATATAGTCAAAAAAACAAGAAAAAATGACCGGTGAGACTGGAACCGGGATCGGAACCACCCCGTTGGATCCCCAAACTCTGCACCCACGATCGGGACCGCCGAGTACCTGGTCCTAGTCCGAGACCAATTTTACGGAAATGTCCGGTCCCACACAGTACTGAATTGGATACAACCCTAGGCCCAAGCTCGAGACCCACTGTCGACGCTTTTCTTGGGGTTTTCAATTTTCCCGGGTTTGAGAATGTCCGGGTCCGTCAAAAGTTTCATTGGGTTATCGGTTAATTCTGGTTTTGACCATATTTGAGGTTTGATGCTCAGTCGGACCGGCTACATGGCCGGATGACCCGGTTCTGGGTCGAACCGGCGGGTCCGATCAGGTTCTTACAACATAGAGAAATTCCAAAATAATTTGGAAGTCCGAAATAGAAGAGTTATGTTTTATCGCTAAATAGGACTATAGGAGTAATTATATCTTATTAAAGCTTGATAATGTCAAAACATGATAGTAAATTTGAGTGACAATAAATTACTCATATATAATGTATAAAAACATAGTACTTTGCTTTGAAATTTTACATTATTTTTACTCAAATTTTAGGAATTTCTAAAATATGGCAATATGCCGTATTATGTCTATATTTTGCCCAAATACAATTATTGAAATAGGATTAAAAAATCTTACGAATTGAAATGAGAAGCAGAAGTATTATTCTAACACCAAACATATCCTCAACAGAGATAAGAATTCGTATTCATTCAGTAAAATGTTCAAAAATCTGAAATAACTACTTTCTAGTTAAAATATGACGTGAGAAGATGAAAAAGAGATAACGTTAAAAATTTATACAAAATCTATAAGCGGCCTTAATCATCTACCATTAGACACTTCGAAAACGCTTCTATTTCTTCCAACAATCTCCTGTTTTCACTTTGACGTGCACTAGGCAAAAAAGTAACGGACGAATGTGATTCCATGAGATTAATGAAAAACTCACTTGCTTTTCTTAAATCACATTGAATAGCTGCAGCGCTATTATTGTGTGCGTGCTTTTTCCTAACATCTTGAACTTTGTCTCTGTAAATACCTCTTCTACAGTCCTGCATATGCCAAAACCTGCGTGTTACTACACTCATACACACACACACTAGTATGTGTACCCGTGCACCGCACGACAAAATATGCACTTAAAGTTTTTATTGAAATTGTAAGAGAAATGAATTGTATGTGAATTCGTCAATCAGGGTTTAAAAAAAATCACTTGACTGTGAAAAGAGCTGCCAAAATGAGTCAAAGTCCCTAGGGCTAGCCCATTTCATCCCATTTCACGATGGGCAAGAGTTGTCATTTTTTTACCTAATGAACTCACTGGTTTCGTGGGTCAACTTGCAAGGGTTGCATGTTAAGTGAGTTGACCCATGCAGATTGTGAATAACCCAAAATATAAACATATGTTTTTTTAATTTTTTGTCTTCAATATTGATGGTTTTCAAATATACTTATTATTTTACAACCCTTGTTGAACTATTATTTCTATATATAATAATTATTTAAATAAATTACTATTAAAAAAATTACTCTAGCATATTTTTTATGTTATTGTTGAAAGTAATTTCTTAACAATTAATAGTCATTTTTTACAAATGTTTACTCAAAAGATGTAAATTGCGTCTTTATTTTTGTACAATGAGTGCTTTTGATAGATACTCCATGTCTCCCTCCAGCTAAGATTTTCTTATCTTTCCCTTTCGATCCGTCTCTCTAACATTGTCTCATACAAAATTAGGTAACATTTGTGTGGCTTTAAATCATTCTTACTTTATTCTTACTTTATCAATTCAATGTCAACAACATAAACTCGTTATTGTTAATAATCGTGTCACCACCTCATGTTCCAATGTTAGTGGGACGGAGGTAGTACAATGTAACAGTTATCAAATTTTAGTACAACAATGATGTAATAATATTTTCAATTAAACTTATCAATTAAGTATTGTGTGTTTAGTATTTTAGTTTCTTATATACTCCATCCGTCCCTAAATGTTAGTCCTACTTTCCCGAAATGGATGTCCCAAAATGTTTGTCATACCTTTTTAAGTTTCTTATTCGAAAAACAAAACTACATTAAACAGTGCAAAACAGTGTCGCTACAGTGTCAAACAATGTCACTATAGTGTGAAGTTAAATTCATTTCCTTAATTTGTGTGAAGTCAAAGTAGGACAATCTTTTAGGGATGGAGGAAGTATGTAATTTGGGCGATCAAATGAGAATGCAATCTATGAAGAGAATTAGAATGAACCAGAACGTTAGATTTGAAAATTGTGCATTATGTGAAGTAGAAGTATGTGTTACCATAAAAAAAATGCAGTGACATTTTTTTTAAAAATAAATTAAACTTGCCCTGTCCATTTAAATATAAATATTATTTATTTATATTTGACTACCAATATTATTTTCAAGTATACTAATTATTTATATTTATATATATACATCTATAAATATAAATACATATATATATATATATGGAATACATAAGAGTAAAGTTTTGAAAGTTGAATAGTTTTTTCTTGAATTTATTGTGTTACCACATGTCATTTTTTCACATAAAGGATGTTGCCACATGTCAAGAATTCATCTAAAGAGTTCTCCAAGGGTTTGCTTTATTATATATATATATATATATATATATATATATATATATATATATATATATATATATATATATATATATATATATATATATATATATATATATATATATATCGAGGGTCAGTCACCTAGATTTTAGAGGGCCTCGTCTGAAAGATGAATTGAGATCCCGAAAAAAAAGTAAAAACAATACAACCTCCGTCACAAAAAACTTTGTCATTTCATAAAATTTGAACCATGATTTTGATTAGTATAATACTATGAAAGTTATAAATTTTATAATTTTTTACCAAAGAACATTTTCATATCATTTTTATATTATAAATAATTTTCAATAAAAATATAGTTGGTTAACGTTTTAAAGGTAACAAAGTTTTTGGAACAGAGGTAGTACTATATATTAATGTAATTAAATTTCATAAAATAAAAATATATTAAATTACCTAAGAAAATATAAATTATATATTGATAAAGTACAAAAATTAGATAATCTTAAAACAATATTACATAGTGGATGAGCTACATAGTGGATGAGCTATAATTTGAAGATGATTGTCCTCCTAGCAACCTTTGAAACAAAATCATTAATTAAAGCGTACAATAAAAAATACTTTATTTCATCATTTGTAAGATCAAGCCTCCGAGTCCATGACTACTAACATAGTACGTACATAGTATTATTTTTGGGGGCCCTCGAAAAATTGGCCCCTGTGCTAAATATGTCTTTCACCTCCTGAAAGTAGGCCCTATAAAATCAATCTATTAAGATTGTCTCATATTTCCATTTCAATCTGTCCCACTAAAATTATCTCATACCAAATTCTAAATTATTCTTATTTTATTCTTACTTTATCAAATTAGTATCAACCAAATAAACTCATTTTTCTTAATAATCGTATCATCTCTTCATGTCCCAATGTTAGTGGGACGGAGGTAGTAACATTTTTTTTAATTTGATACATTTTTATTTAGGCCTTGTTTTGTGTTAAATAATACGGAGTAATGAATTGGCTTATCAAATAGGTAGCCAATGATACTGCCCTTTCAGAATATGCCAATGATTTGGCCCATATGATTGCTGCCACTCTGCCAGTGATGAAAAGCAGGATACAGCCCCTATTGTCCGTGGTTTTGATGCTATTGTAACTTGGGATGGGCCTCCGGTGGCTACCTTTAGTAAGGCGTGCGGTAACCGGAGGCGATGCTCATCCCTTGTTGATGGGTTCTGCTGCATTTAATGGTGCTCACAGTGCACTATTGCCTACCCGTATTAGCGCCCCTGCTGCCAATGATTTAACTGAGGCTAAAAGCGGAAATGATGATATTCTATCTAATCCCTCGAATGAAAATACTACTCATGCCCCAAAGTTATCCTACGATGATACTCTACTGAAGAAAACAATGCTTTTTTACAAACTTTTTCAGGACCTACTCAATATTCCCCAAATGAAGGAGAATGTCTGGAAGGTTTTAGGAGGTTACTAGAAGAAGAAAGTCAAGAAACACAAATAAGAACCCAGCCAAATTCCCTAATGACGATCACCAAGATTCATAACAATACTACCAGGTGGGATGGGCTTCACATCCAATGGTCACCAGAAGTCGCTCTCACGAACCTCAAGATGAATCTGATTATTTCTTATACCCGGTTGGCCCAAGGTTTGACTCGCCACACAAGTTGGCGCAGCTATCAAACATTATAAGTCTTCAAAACCAGAGGCTACAACTTACCAACCCTATCTTCAGAAGACGATCAAGTTCCACAACAGATACAACAGAATTATCTCAACTACTCTTGGAATTCCGACAAAAAATTTCAACTGCTAAATTTCTTAATATTCCTTGTATGCTTTATTTAATGCTTTTCTTTAGCTCCTGTATCTCGTAACCTTTTATTAATAAAATCGGGAGATGTTCCCCGCACTCCCCCACCTAGTGTGGTTTACTTCGAGAGAGAAAAAAGGTAGCCCCGATAGATATTTATAATAGGTAAGGTTTTATAAATTAAACAAGAGACCCCATAAGTATGAACTATTACACCCCTCAATTTGTGCATGAGAAATAATGTGCAATTATGCTTGAGAAAATGATATCTCTGAGAAGATAGACTCTTGGTAAACATATCAGTCAACCCCAATTGAGTAGGGGCATACTCAACAATCAAATCACCATGAGACACATTTCTAACAAAGTGGTAACCAATGCGGGCATGGTTGTTGCAAGCATGTTGAACCGGATTAGAAGAAAGATATGATGCATAAATATTGTTGCATTTTAGCTTAATAGGCACTCAAAGAGGAAACCCTAGCTCAAACAGCATAGAGCGAACATGTAGAGTGTCTTGAACCGTGTAAGCAATGGTCTTGTATTCAACTTCTGTATAAGACTTTGGAGATAATAGGCCGTTTCTTGGAGCACCAGAAGACTAAATTTGGAAACAAGAAAATTGCATACCCCGTGGTGGAACAACTTCTATCTAGACAACAAGCCTAATCAGCGTCAAAATAAGTTATTATTATGGATGATTCTTAGATGGGGGGAAGTAGCAGACCGTGATCCGATTTCCCTTGAAGGTACCGGAATATACGTTTAACTCCAAAAATGTGAAGTACGGGGTGCATGCATGAATTGGGAAACTAAATGTACCGCGTATGTAATATATGGTCTAGTCATAGTCAAATACTCTAAGGCATCAACCATGCTACGATACATAGTAGGATCATCCAAAAGTTCAACATCTTTGAGGGATAAGGTGGTGCGAGATGAAAAAGGTGTACGAGCATATTTTGAGTGTATGAAGATGGAAATGCCAAAGAAGGTGAGTGACATACCTATGTTGAGAAGGGAATAAACCATGAGGGGTGTGAGATGCCTGAATACCAAGAAAATAACGTAACTTCCCCAAATCCATCATAGCAAACACACGAGACAATTTATTAAGAAATCGAGCGATGTCCGGGTCGTCTCTCGGTCCGATTTTTACAACATAGCTTTTTTCTATTACACGAAAAACACATGTTTACCAAACATTATCAACTTTTACTTTTTCAAAAGCACTTTTTTCGCACAATATTGACTTTTTGTATTGACCACTTTCTCTAAAACCACTTTAAAGAATCACTTTTTTAACATAGAAGCAATAGCAAACACTTCCTTACCTTAAAATAAACAAATGAGAACGAAAACAGACATGAAACTAGTTATTGTGGATATTGACGCAAGGATATAGAACCTGGAATATGCGATTTAAGCATGAGATCTGTCCATCCTTCAAATATCCAGCGCTAAGCAGTTCTCGAAAAAAAAGAACCAGTTCAGAGCTCAAATTAGATACCGAAATGTTATGTATGATGCCCTGAATACAAGATTCATCAAACACTGAAGTGATCCATGGAGGAGTTTGCTTCATCCTCAGCAATGCAACGGCTACATGAATCGCTGGCTTGTGGTAGGCCGTGAAGGACTTTGATGCCAAACGCGGAAAAGCCAAAGACATAGCCAATTCTTCCATGATCAGCCGAAACCAACTGTCCCTTTCAATTGCTAATACCTGTGTCTGCATACCTTGCCACCCAATGATCATTGACAAAGAAAGGGAGCAATTCATAGAAACTCCAATGTCGCTACAGAAGATCAGGCCTTTTAGTATGGCAATCACAGACAAGAAAAAAGCTTTTTCTAAGTTTATCTTATCTGGTTTTGTTACATATGTTTCTGATGATAGACTGTTAAAAATCTCCAGGAGGTTATATGAGGCAACCAGTTTTACTCTAGAGGAGCCAAAATGAATCAACTTGCACAAGTCACGGCACTTTATACTTATATAGGGTAGAGGCTGTTTCAGGCTGCACTCACTCTCATCAAGAAGATGCCAGCAGTCCACAATCCCTGGTAAATTGGCATACCCACTAATTCAACAAAAGTATTAGTTAGGTCATAAAGTGGAGGGAGTTTGGTGCTTTCATATGAAAGTTTTGCATATGCAAGTAACTTTTGGAGGAATTTTGATATGGGACTATGAGTTTGTAATCTTATCACTAATTTGTTGTAAAAGTGTGTTTTATATGTTTGGCTTAAATTACTTTCTAAAACAATGAAATTACAATTTTCCAGCTTTTCCTCTATGTAATACATAAAATACGGTTAGGGATGCAATCTAGTAACGTACAAGAACTTATTATATTCACACACAATGACACAAATGTGGAGGCTCTCCTGTTCAAATCAGACAGGCTTATCCTGACTGAGATACTTTCAACAATTTCAATTAGATACGAACTAACAATGTCAAAAAGGGCTAGGTGCTAAGCAGGCTATGAAATAAAAATGAAAAATCATAGGGATCTAAAGAAGAATAGCACCTTAAGCAATTTAATTAGAATATAGATTAGAAAGGAAATGAAATGCTTGCAAGTATAAACTGCAATAGGAAAGTACTTACCTTTTAAATGCGAAGAATAATAATGCAAGCACAGAAATTAGAACTTCCCCGATCTCTGTAGCTTGATCATGGTCGAGTAGAGCAGGTCCCTTACAGCATGCTTCAGTAATTGTGTTGCTGAGCATTTGTACCAATGGGGCACTCAAGAGTATGCTTTTTGAAGCTTCAACCAGTTTCTGATTTATAGAATGATGTAGAATCATTGAAAAAATTCCAATTATTATGAGAGTTTCCGTGCTCCATCCATCAGCAGTTACAGATGGTATGAGGAAATCCAACAACTGCAGAATAACATGTACATTACTCACCTAGAATATCTTTGAATCGCTAGATATGCTATGGAAAAGAAAAAGAATCCTAAAAAGGGGAAGCCCGGAGCACATTGGCGTCCCCGCAAGGTGAGGGTCCGGGGAAGGGTCCCACCACATGTATGTCTAAGGAGCAAGTCTTCCCTTGTCATTTAACAAGAGGCTTCTTCCAAGATTTGAACGCGTGACCTCTTGGTCACACAACAAAAGATCATTTTTTTATGTTTGATTTCATGTTGGAAAATGCCAAGATGCATAGAAAAAAATTGTACTTCAAAAAAAATACATACGTTTAGATTTGTTCGTATTTATACAAAAGAGAAAAAAACAGTTTCCTACTAATTTCCAGGTTCCAGACAGACCCTCCAACTGTTGAGAATCAGACTACGTACAATAGTTACTGTGCATCTTATTTACGTTTTGGTGAATTTTGAAAGGAATCTCTATTTCATATCAAAAGTTAGACCTTACACGTACATATCTATACACGAGAGAATGAGTTTAGTTTCGTAACAAACTAATGATATGACTAAGGAATTAACTACTCCTATCTCCGCAACGGAGGAATAGAAGAAATATATGCTATAATAATAATCATAATAACGACAAATATATACATATATATATGTATATGTCAACATATACATATATTAAAAAAAAAGTATATGTCAACATATACGTTTCAAATACCTTCACTACTATGCCAACCCAGTTATCCTCTTCAGAAATTGACTCGGACTGTACTGCTTGTAGAATCATAAAAGTTAGTTCTGAAATAGAAATGAACACATCTGGACAAAAAGAATATCTGGACTGATGATAAAACTTCTGAATTGCAGACGATATCCCATGCAAACATAACTGATCTGAAGCAGGCGGCGCTATTTCAATTATGTCTTGTACTGCTCTTAAACCCAGACCAGAGTCAATCTCTTTGTCAAATTCATCTGCCAACTCTTCTAAGACACTAACAAAGAGTATTCCAGCAAAGTTATCCCCAGATGCTATAAGATCTGCTACAGCATGTAAATCTACATTTTGCTGTCCTTTCAAGTTGTCGTATGATCTGAAAAAATTCAGAATCTGGAGAGACAACAGTTTGCAAATTCTCTCTTGTTGGAACATCCATTTCAAAGACGTCGGGTTGATTTTTGTGGTCAGCAAATTCCAATTCTTTTCAGCTAATAGATGAAACATGATCCTCTCAGCCTCTAGGCTGTAAGAATTTTGGTAGCTGATTTTGGCTAGAGCCCTATACAGTGCGTAGAGATTTACAAGTAGTTTCAACATCCCGGGAAAAAAAGGTCCATACAAACATTCATTGCTATTGAGTATGATAAATTGTTCCAGCGAAGCTAAGACAAGCTTATCATCAGCAATCCTGAAAAGCATTTGAATTATAAGGCAAAGCTAACTGAGGGATAAAGTTTAGGGGTTCGTTTGGAGCAATAATAATACTAGGGAAAGAAAATAGGGACGAAATTAGAGAGAATATTTCAGGAGAATATAAAAGATAAGTTCAAACCCAACAAATTCATTTTAGATGTTCAAACTCATTATATATATATATATATATATTATTTAAAGACTAAGAAAATTGCATATATGTAAATAAAGTAATCATATTTTACTTTTTTTTGCACTTCCCCAATGTAATGTCAAACATAAGAAAACAATTTTGCTTAACATTTTTTTCATTCATTTCCCTAGTATTTTTCGAACATACTCTAGAAATATGGATGCTAAAGAACAAGCAATATATATATATATATATATATATATATATATATATATATATATATATTACCTATCATCATTGAAAGAGCTAATGTGCAATAAAATCAGCACAGCATATTGGCATGAAGACAGCTCATGATTTTGGGAGCTTTTCTGGCCAATAAGGAAGAACAAATTCACTGGGTCAGATGGTAAATGAGGGGCAGCATCCCTAACACATTTACCAGAATCATCATCTCCTATAAGAGCCTCAGACAATGAGCTGAACAAAAAATAAACCCTCAGTTTCATTTTTTCTGTCGGAAATAAGCCTAATGCACCAAATGAAAAACTGAACCAGGAAGATGAGAGCAGAATATTTGCAAATGTCTTGGTTCCCGTATTATAGTCTTGCAGCAGTATTGCATGAAAAGTTTCAAAAACTGCCAATGCAATGTCCTCATCCTCAATGTCATTAAGGGCCCTCATAAACCAGGGCAGTATTTGTGTTTTACATACATCGATGATCCCCCCTCTTAGTTCTGTGCATATGGAGCCTGTCAGTTTTTCCCCATGACTGTAAGCGTATGCCTCTTTCAGCAGGTAAAGGGAGTGCAACAATTGACTTGGTTGTTTATCATAATGGCTTAAACTCGTTAAAACAGCATTTCTTGGTGCATCTTGAATTGATATGAGGAAACTTGAAATCCCCTGGGTAGCTGAACATTTCATAAGAGCAACAAGTATTGAACAAACCAAAGCAAATGTCCTGGGTAACATTCCAGCATCCCCGTCAATATTTTTTTTTAACATCCTGCTCAAGGTCAAGCTTATTTCTTCAAAGTGAGATTTGGATACTATCCCTGGCCAGTTTGTTACACAACTCCATATGAGCTTTAGTGTCTCAGTTTGAACAGGGTGAAAAGGTACATCACCAACATGTTGAAGAATGGCAACCAGGGTTGTCAATCCAGTGGCTAATCTTTGAAGAAATGTTTTCTCAGCAGTAGATAAAACATCCAGAACCTGAATGCAACCATTAATCAGAGGACCTTTGCACTCTGCAAATCCGTACAGTAAATTAAAAAGGGGGGGACAACAAGATCATGAGTAATTATGACATCCACATGTTTTTAAGTTAATTGATCTGACTACTACATAATCTAACTTTTAAAATATCAGTAAATAAACTAATTCAACTAAATCTTAGCACCAAACAACTTGGGTTGCAAGGTGTCTAGTAATGAGCAATATGGCAGAGAATAAATGAAACTCTTTACAAGAAGCCTAGAATATGAATGTTTGCTGTTTCATCACCTTTCATTTGGGATGACTCAACGGACAACCTCAATATTTCAAATGCATAATCTGCAATGTTTTGCTCCACAAACACTTCAATTTCTTTCCCCGAGACTTCTTCCCATGAGAGAAAAAGATAGAGCAAGTCCAGTGTTACAACTTGCACTTGATTATCTGAAGAAAGCAGGGGACCTTTGACAGCCTCAGCAAACAGGTTAACTAGAGGAGGATTGACGATTGTATGTTCTGATGTTAGCATCAAATTTTGAGCAGAGGAAATGTTCCTCCTTGCATCATTGATGGATATAGTCTGGAACAAGCCTTTCTTGGCCAATACTGTCAGAAGTGCTAAGCATACAAACAAGAAAAGGGTTATAAGATAAAACAAACTAGCAATTAATACATCGCAGATGCACGTGTTATGTACCGGGACTCAGGGTCGTAGTTAGGGGAAACCAGCTCTGGCCTCGGCCCGGACCAAATTTTAAAAATGTCTATATTTTTAGTGTAAAAAATTCGTGTAAAAAAATTTCAAAAATATTCTTTGTACCGTCCCAGTCCGACCCAGTGCCCTGGCCTCACCCCTGCCGGGACTCTTTGCGTCATGGGAGTGAAATATAAATGATAACTGGATAGGGGCTGTGGAAATTTGGGATGTCTTCCTTCTTAATTTCTCCTTAATTTTTTATTGGTGTTTTATTAGCATAGCAAATCTCCTTTTTATAAGGATTACATGCATTAGAATGCAGAATCTCCTTTCTATTAACTAATGAGGTATTAAAATCAAACCAAAATAAAATCAAGCAAGCAAACCAAATCAGCTATTACTCCTCAATATTCTACTTGGTTACTCTGCTTATCTTTCCATAATATTATACTTGAATTTACTGATTTGAATGAATTTGCTTGAGAGAAATTTACTCTCAGCTCATCTTTATTTATACAACAACCAAGCCTTATTCCCAAAAGATTTTGGGGTCATCTTTATATATAAGGTTCAGAATTACAAGGAAAGAATCGTATCAACTTATGAGGGAAATAGAGATTTCCCAATTTACATCAATCATCTAATAATTTCTGATTTGATACAATCTGTACAATAATTCAATACTCCCTCCGTCCCGAAAAGGTTCGCCAAATTGACTTTTCTTGGTCAATGACAACCAACTTTGACTGATGATATTTTCTAATATGAAATTAATTTGAATATAAAAATTTTATCAAAATGTTCCTTATTAAAAATATTGTCATAAAAGTATAAAATTTAGAAATTATATACAAATATAATGATTAAAATAAAATCATTGTCCAAAGTTCGCCATCATTGACCAAGAAAAGTCAATATGGCGAACCTTTTTGGAAAGGAGGTATTATATAATATTTCAAAAAAATCAATAAATAATAAAATGAAAAAGGATCTCACTTAGAGTCATATCATATCTCAATACTCCCCCTCAAGCTAGTGTATAGCTATCATATGCGTCAAGTTTGTCACAAATATATCTTACCCTAGGACCTCAAAGTGACTTAGTGAGAAAATCAGCTAACTGATCATTTGAATTGACAAAGGATGTGAAGATTTCTCCAGAGATGACCTTTTCACGGATAACATGATAATCGATTTCTATATGTTTTGTCCATTCATAGAAGACGGGGTTAGAAGCAGCGTATAAAGCTGCTTGATTATCAAAAATCAGTTTTATAGGCTTCAGTTTACAAAACTTTAACTCAGACAATAACTGCTTCAGCCATATAAGTTCGCAAGTAGTAAGAGCCATGGCTCGATACTCTACTTCTTCAATTGATCTAGCAACAACACTTTGTTTCTTTCTCTTCCAAGAGATAAGATTTCCACCAATGATCTCCTATCATTTGGACAATCGGCTCAATCTGCATCTGAAGATCCAGTAATATTGTCATAACCTCGATTCGCATTAGCTAGTCCTCTTCCGGGTGAACCTTTGATGTATCTTAGGATTCGAACAACCATATCCATTGACTATCAATGGTGTGTTGAGGAACTGACTCATCACGCTCATAGCAAAGGAGATGTTTGGTTTAGTCATAGTGAGATGATTAAACTTCCCCACAAATCATCGATATCTTCCAGGATCGGATATGGCCTCCTAATCTGGCAAAAGTCGGACATTTGGATCAATTGAAGTATCAATTGGCTTACCATCTGTCATCCCGATTTGCTTCAGAATATCAAGAGCATATTTTCTTTGAGATATGGCAATGTCAATTCTGAATTGAGCTACCTAAATTCCCAGAAAGTGACGAAGTCGTCCGAAGTCTTTTATTTGAAGTTGCTGAGACAAGTACTGTTTGAGATTCTGTATGCCATCGTGATCATCTCCTGTTATTACAATATCATCAATATAAACAACAAGGTACGTAGATTGATTAGATAAAGACCTTTTTTAAAAGACAGTAGGTCTGCTTTGCATTGAATCATCCCAAACTGTTTGAGAGCCATACTGAATCATCCCAAACTTTTTATAAAGACCTTTTTATAAAAGACAGTATGCTCTTGGGGACTCTTTAAGACCATAAAGGCCTCATGCAACCAACACACAAACCTACACTCCCCTTAAGCAACAAACACAGGCGGTTGCTCCATGTAAAGTTTTTCTTTCAAGTTACCACGAAGGAATGCACTTTTTATGTCCTATTGATGTAAGAGCTAGCTACGCATAGCTGCCATAGATAAGAACAGACGTACGGAAGCCATCTTTTCAACCGGAGAAACAGTGTCAGCATAATCAAGTCAATTTGAGTAAACCCTTTGTCAACCAAATGAACTTTCAACCGGTCGACTTGTCCATTAGGACCAACTTTGATTGTAAGCACCCAGCGGCAACCAATAGTAGATTTCCTAGGAGGCAGGGGAACTTCAAAGGATACTATCTCATCAAGCATAGCTTGGCGCCATCCTGGATGGGCAAGAGCTTCCTGGACAGTTTTAGGAATGCAAGCATAAGAAATGGAAGACACAAAATCAACATGGAAAGGAGATGGGTGATGATTACTAAGACAATTGTAAATAGGATGAGGGTTCTGAGTGGAACATATACCTTTTCCAGTTGCAATGGGGAGATCAGGTTTGGTTGGTGCTTCAGGTTGGACCGGAGTAGGTAAAGGAGCTGGAACAAGAGGTGAATCACTAGGGTCATTAATAAAGACATCCTCATTAGGTGCAAACCGCGGTCGATACTCATAAGTAATGGAAGGTTTGGGAGAGGACTGAGAGGTGATAATGGAGTAAGATGAGGAATGGGTAAAAACTGAGAGACATATTTGACTTCCACGGGTGAAGTGAGAGACATATTTGACTTCCACGGTTGTTTCTCAAAGAAGGTGACATCTGCAAATGTATTGAAACGATGAGTAGAAGGTGAGTAACAATAGTACCTCTTTTGGACTCTAGAGTAGCCAAGGATTATGCAGTTGATTGCTCGTAGAGATAATTTATCAAGACTAGGAGAATGATCATGCATGGAATTATGG